TCTGAGGGACAGGAAATTTTTTTAAAAAAAAGGTGGAGGGCCCCTTTTTTTTGTTTTTGGGGGGGGGGGGGGAAAGCTGACTTTAACCCTCAAAGCCTCTGCACTGGCCCAACTTTCACCGTCGCAGTGGCAATTCCACACAACAGTGAACACATTCAGCCTAAATGCCAACACCACCTTTATAGTCTGCTCTTTTAAGCCATGATTTTGGCAACATTTGCCAACCTAATCCTGAGGATTTGAGATAAATGATTTGTCCTGAAAACACATCATCACCGTTACATTTCAAGCACTCCGTTTCAAACAAACTCTTACATTTTTGGAAATAAATAATTAATTTATCAAGACCAACTAAAAACAAAGGTGAGCTCACTGAGCTTTTCAGTGATCTAATGATCACTCTCAAATCTTTCTGCAATATAACAATGCACTATAACAACCATCTGGAGTGTAATAAGAAGGTTAGATGTTAGATTTACAGAAAAAAAAGACAACCACCCTCTCATGATCAGGTGCATCATTCTTCCAATCATTCATTAAAAGATGTAGGTGGTATGATACAAGCAGATGTGTATGAATAAACTCAGATAACTTCATCAATAATTTATTTTATTTTCTAGCCAGATTGACTGTGTAGGAGTTAAAAGCTACTATTTCTCTCTATATAATATCTTTAAGAAGTTTAAAATGTGTTGTAAAATCCTTTGCCAATTTTGCCCGTTTCAAGTCAAGATTACGAAAAACCACTGGACTGATTCACATTATGAAAACCTCTTTTGCACTTTTACTTTAATTGGGCCATGCTGCAGATGTTTCGTTGCTGCTTTCCAGATCATCGTATCCCAACATCTGAACAATGACGTTTCCTCACCGAAATAGCATAATTTTCCTATAAATACAGTTTTCAAGAACTCCACCGTGTACGCAGCCTGAAAAGTTGCAGATCGTATTCCTCCCAGAAGGCACAGCAATTAACACCCGGCATATTTGTAAATTATTTGCTTGTCGCTTTGCGCTGATCAGTCTTTAAAGCCATATGCTGACTATTCTAAGCTGTGTTTTGACTACATAAAGCACTGCTAAAGTGTCTATTGGAAACACATTTATCATTTGCACTCAAGCCTGAAAAACTCACAACCTCCCTTTTTTTGTTCCTGCAAACTTCCTGCTTGCACTCTGGAAGAGTTTGCATAAAACATACTAATCATCATGAAGACCATTGAAGACCATTGATTCATGATAACAGTTTCTCTGCAAGATTTTGTAGAGGTTCAACCAAAGTGGGGGTAAGACTTGATACAGATTGCAGCTACACTGCCAAAAGCATTTTTATAATTTACTTGGAGCACCACCAGCCTGGTAAAACACGCCTGCTGACATTCTCCAACACAATAATGAACCGCCGCAAGATCAACAGTTTTGCGACGCGCTCAGAACAGTTGGAAAATCTTAGAGAATAAGCAGTGTGATATTGATGCACTCGAGAAGGTCACTCCAAGAACCTGAGGATACATTTCCCTTTCCAGTTGATTCCATAATCACGTCACAGACTTTGGAGCTGAAGAGGACCTCAATGACCCTGTTTTCCTTCTTCACACACAGTATGTCATTGCCCAAAAATCCTTCTCATATATTTCGTTTGTGTTTCCTGCTAAACGTTTTACCCATGAAAAAAACAAACAAACACAGATACACACACACAAACGTTCATTTCCGAATAAATAAGACATTTTCACAAGTTTGAAAAAGCTTTATTTCCCCAAATCCAACCCACTTTACTTATAATGTACAGAAATGTATTTGCTCTTTATATCTCTCATCATCCCATCCATGTGTACAGTGTGTCCTGCCCTCTGGAGCTATGGAGGGATACCCTGAATGGATGGCCATGTTAACATTTGCTCAACCTGTCACCCCTGAGAAGGCCTAGTTAATGCAACGTCATGATATTGTCTGTAAAAGGCCTTAAATTACAATATTATTTCAGCAACTGCCAGCATGGTGGAAAAAAAAGCTCACTCAAATCTTTTAATCTTTTCCTTTTAAATATTTTCTGTTGTACGTTATAAAACATGTTGATAAAACCATGTAAATAAAGAAGAAAAATAATAAAGTCCCCCCACCCTGTTTTCAAACAGGCATTCAACAATAACGTCATCTAAACTCTCTTCTATAATATTTATAATACAGATAACAATAAAATGACTCTGGTAGAATCTCTATAATTGCTCTATTTCTACATATAATCTGACTTTTCTTGGTTATTTAAGAAAAAAAAATGGGTCACCCGGGGTCAGAGTTCCCACTGAGCAACAGAAAGAAACAAACAGTGGAGATTAAAGGCTGGCTGGTTCACTGAGAAGTGGGACTGGGGGGAACCATCACGTCATTATGGCGAGGAGACCTGGCGGGCTTTGCTAACCTAGAACGGCTTGGGAGTCCTTAGAGAACACAAATGCACGTCGGATGAAGAGGGGTTTTCTTTAAAGCACAAGCACTGAATGGCAGTTACAGGTTACTTACGACAGGTGGCACTGCTGCGTCAAACACATGTACACACGTTGCACAAATGCATAGGTTCCTGTAATTGAAGAGAACAAGATTCGGTCCGACTGCTGAGGAGAGGATGACACATGCGCTCCGAGTCCTGTGTTGAGACCTTGCCAAGAGTTTGTTTTCGGCATAAGGAAAGGGGGGGATGTCAGCAGATATCCCGCGTGGGAGTGGGCGCACGAGCACAAACAGCACAATGACAAGTCGACGCTGCATATGTGTCACTTCCACATCACTCGTCGCTGACGTAACAATGTTTTTTTTTTTTGGCTCAGTGGAAGTCATACAGAGGTCCTACTGCTCCGCTGAAAAGTGAAGCGGCAGTGTCATATGGCGCTTAAGGCAGCCCTCCTCTCTCTCTCCGCCCCCTTCTCATGTCGAGACTGGCCATGAGCATCAAGCATCAAGGGCAGCAGCTGCACAACTTTTTATTTTTTTATTTTTTTTTATTTCATTTGACTTTTCACTGACAAACCAGACTTGGCCTTGGCTATGGAGGGGCACACAATACACTGTATGAGGAGTTTACAGCAGAGAAGAGTTAAAAAGTCATTGACACACCAGACATGAACATAAACATACTGTATGTATTGCTTTAAATGTGAGGCTTGTCATCATTACAGATAAACTATAACAGGATCATTCTCACTTGATTGGGTTTTTTTTCCAAAGCAGAATTTTATAAAATATACACCTACAAATAATAATAATAATAATAATAAAAAGAGAACATCAACATAATAATCATTGCTTTTGTAAGTAAATCCATTTTAAGGTGCTTTTTAATGTGGTTGCCATGGCACTGTGCTTTGTATCCCTCCCCCCACACACACCCCTTTCCACACGCTGCGCTCAGACACAGCACCGGGACGTCAGTCAGAATGTGGCTGAGCAGCCTTCCCACCCGCTGTCAAATTTTTCATCAAACACTGAAATCCTATCAAGTCATCAAGTTATCCATTGTGTTCTCATTATGTGCTTTGATTGTGTGCGTCATTTCCTTGCTCCTCATCGGCTTAAACTGAGATCACAGCAGAAGAAAATCAGGGACAACGTCAAGGTGATGGCGGTGAGGTGAAAGGAGAATGGGGTTAAAAAGCAGTGAGGATGGGAGCGAAACAAAAGGGGAATTTGGCAGGATAAGACGCATGTAGCTGCGAAAAAATATTTTCATGCCGCTACCTTAGGAAAAGCATAATCCCAGGTTGCATGCATGAGTAATACTCTGAAGCGAGAATTTTAGATTCCAAAGAGCAGATTTGCAAACTGAAAGATAGTTTCATTGACAAGCTGACCTTTTTTGGATCTTACTGACTGTTTAATCCTGGGTGTATTTAAAAAAATAATAATAATAACTTGGATGCAGGGGCTGTTACTCTTACTTGAAAAGAAAGAAACAAACATCAGTAATGCAGTTTTTCTTTTTGCGTTTTAACATAAACAATACATAGTTATAGACCTACAGTGACGTGTCGCTTTTGTCCTTGAGAGCCTTTAAAGTGATTTATTTTGAATCTTTGAAGCGAGCTTCTGCTAAAAGATTAAAAGGCGAATAATTTCTTACCTTCAGTAATGTATTTATTGACTTCCTTGTTTATCTTAAATCCAGACTAGTTGGTTTCAGAGATTAAAGTGAACAGGTTTCATACCTTCATAAAACACCTCCACCAGTCTGTCTGTCTGTCTGTCTGTCTGTCTGTCTGTCTGTCTGTCTGTCTGTCTGTCTGTCTGTCTGTCTGTCTGTCTGTCTGTCTGTCTGTCCCCTGTCTATGTCTACTTGTCTAGCAGGGTCATGGGAGTGCAGGTGTTTCACATCATGCTTCACAGTCAAACAAGACAAACAACCAAGGCAAGGCAGCATTGCCAGCAACTGTGCCTCAGTGCTTGGAACAACTCCTATCTCAAAAAAACACACCTTGAAACCGGCGTCTTGTTCACATCAGGCAGTTGTTCACACAAAAGCCAATGAATATTTACGAGGGAAATCGAGGCTGACCCTGGATCATCCCATGCGAGACATGAACTTTAGTGCTTAACGTTTCCGGTCAGCGCAACAGATCGATAGAAATGTGAGAAGGTCTAAAAAAAAAAAAAAATACATAAATTACCATTCACATTGACCTCCAAAAAGTTTCTGATTTTCACACTGCTTTGGTTTTAATTAATTTGGTTAGTCTGAGAAGAAATGCTTTTCATGCTCAACATGTGTGTCAATGACTAACCAATGATACCAGATTAGTGTTGATAAAAAATGATCTGCATAAATCACTGTCAGATTTCTGAAGTTGCAGTTCTTTTAAAAAGCAGAGGTCCACATTGGCTCCATTTAGGCTATATGCTAACTTTAGCTTGGGACCAACTAATCTGGATCTATAAATGAAGGTTCTACTAATACTCCTGCTGCAATATTACAAATCTACCGTCCATTTCCATAGCATAGAAAAATTTTGCCTTAGCAGAATTGAGCTCCAGCATTGTCTTCCTAGATATTTGAGATCGTAGCATGCATTATCTGATGGTCTGCTACACCAGACTGCCACAGATTTTTAGGACATGTTGGAATGTAAAACCTGTCTCACTCATGTAGCGATGTACCATTGCTACAGCATTTTGCACAACTATGACTAAAATATTACAGGAATTACCCAATTATATATAAGAAACAAGCTTTGCATTAGGACTGAAACTTGGTACGAGTAGAGCAGTGAAGCTTCATTCCCAGATCATACAAGTCTTTGTATGAAATAAGAAAAATACATCATTCTGATGTAGCAGAACCCAAAATTACACATCACTGATCCCAAGACACATGCACTATTCAAACTGAGATGGCATCAAAAGCTAAACATGTACTTCAAAAGCATTATAGGACTCAATGTCCCTTAATTATTTTATGTTAACACTCATGTAAATGCCTTTTTATATATGCCAGCATACATGGCCAGGTAGAATCTGTGATGGCAGCTTAGACGTGCCATCTACTGTAGGTAAGACACCAACACCTTGCAACCTTTTAACAAAACCTCACAATAAAAATTCAGGACTCTATCCTTAAACTAAGACGTCTTATGTTTTTTTTTTTTTTTTTTAAACCATATTCACAATACCATGCAGCAGCGTTGCTTAAGCTTGTCAGCTGAAAACACTGATGAGTGAGGCTGGCCTTTGCAGCCATACACGTATGGCTTTGCTTCAGCTGCTTTACGGACCTACAACAACTTTTCATCAAGCCTCCAAACATAGAAGATAAAAAAGGTTTTATAAGAGCATCAAGTAAAGGGACCTTATTTTGTGGCAACCACACTAAACGTACATCTAGATTTTTTTTTTCTATATATGTTTTCTAATAAATTACACAATAATATTTATAATTTAAACCATGTTTGACCCATGAAATGGCTATAAATGTGGCCTCCTTGTGCCAGTCACTGTCTGGAGGCCTGTGCTGCTCCTGAGGTCGCCATCAAAGGAGCAGAAAGAAGGCATGAAAGGGGATATTGGCCTTAGTGATGAGAAGCGCTCTCAGGCCGTCGGGCCTGGTGATAAATTGGAATTTGTGCACTCTTCCCATTTTAAGTCAGGCGGGCTGCATAGTTTGGATGTGGCCTTTGTTGCGTGGTCACACTAAAACGAGGGCCTTGGACTTGGTAAAGGGACAGGGCCGGAGCTTAACTGGGAGATCGGTTAAGTCCTTAATAAGGGGAGAAGATGATGGGTGTGTGCGTGGCCCGCAGCGGCCCCGGGGCAGGCCGGAAGAGTGCAGGGCCCAGGAATGGGGTCTGGATGAAGGTGGTGGCGCCCACCGGGTGGCGCAGAGCCAGCGGGTTAGTCGCCACTGTGCACAGAGTTGGTGGGGTGAGGGGGCTGGGCAGGAAGCCAGTTGTCAAACTCTTGGTCAGCTGCTTCTGCAAGGCCAGTTTGGTCTGGAGAAGACAGGAATGGGGGACCGGTAAGAAGCAAGAGAAGAACACAACGAGGGCAGAACACAACAGCGATCGGGCGAGCATGTTTCTCGAAAACATCGGCCCTTCATCCAGACACTCAGCTGCAGCGAAGGAATATGCAAAACACCTCTGAGCAAATTATATTTTCTTATTTTCACATGACAAACAGATGAAATATGAATTTACCCACAGGTGTCCAAACTTGCATAAACAAGATAGACAATCTAGGAGTATGACATGGACACAATCATTTTCATCACTAAGTTGAAGAAAATATGTATCCCTGAAGCTCGTAGTTATTAAAAGGGTTATTCTGATCTTTTATGAAGATTATTTTAGTTTAAGATTAGTCAATGAAGTTAACCTGATTACCCAGCTCATGTACTCTGCTGTTCAAAGCTTATATATTTTAAATAAAAGGGAGTTACCACAATAACAAAAGCCACAAACTGCTCAATAAACAGCCTCCAAATTCCTGGATACATTTCTATCAACATAAAAACCTTGAGTTGATTCCAGTTGTGCGTTTGTATTGGTATTAGTTTAGGCTCATGTCAGCAGACAGCTCCCCTGGTCCAACTGGTAAATTTAATCGAGAGCTGCGTATTTAAACTGCTTGCTTTGAAGCCTCCTCTGGAAGCCACAGTGCTTCCTGCCCGTTCATTCCTGCTCTTCATACTTCATCTGACCTAATCAGCGTCACATTTGTTGTAATGGACATCTGCTCTGTTCTGTACTCTGGGGGTGTTTGCTGCTGCTGCTGCTCCTGCCCTTCCTGCCCCTGGCTCTCTGCATATGCACATGGAAGGGCTGAGAGGTCCTAGCGCAAAACTACAAATAAAACTGATTGTTGTGAGCAAAAACGATTTTATCTTCATTCCTTTTTCATGATTTTAGGGAGCATAAACGTTAAAATGCCACTCTTAAAAAAAATTAATCACAAAGAAAAGCCTTTAGATACAGCAAGCATACTCGCACCCCTTTGACTTTTTTTCACTTTTTGCCACATAATAACCACTGAACGGATTTTAACGGGCCTTCAGACCAACACTGAGTTTCAAAAAATTTGTGTGGAAGAAAAATGACATATGCTTTTAAACACATTTCACAAATATAAATCTGAAAAGTGTAGCAAACACATGGACTTAATAAATAAAAATGTACACATGCCTTTATATCCAGCCCACCTGAATGAATAATTGTGGAACCACTAGTCTTTTGTGTTATGCTTTTGCTAATAGATGTTGAGCAACATAGCTCCCCAGAGCAGGCTGCTGCCACAAAAATATTTTCTGCATTTAGCGTGATGCGCAGTTTGTTTTCCCTCATGCAACCAAAAAGTTTCATTTTGGTCTCTTTTGACTGTAGACCTATTCTCCACAACTTTGTTTCTGACCCAGCTTGTGTATTATATGGCAGCTGAATGCAGCTGAATGCTCAAGGTTACAGGTATCAAAGTAAAGGAGGCTGAATACAAATGCACTCTACACTTTACAAGTTTTATTTGCAACAACTCTGAAAACCATGTATCATTTCCAAACCAATAGTTGGTCTATTACCTAAAATCTGTTGAGGTTTGTGGCTGCAATGTGGAAAAAAATGACAAAGGTTTTAAGGGGCATGAATAGTTTTATAATGTGCTGTGCATCTGAGATGCAAACTGTTTTATATATCTGTCTTTTGCTAAATTATAGAAGAAGCTTCAGGTCCCAAAGTGTTTTTTCTTCTTCTGTTTTTGCTAAAACTTCACCTTATATACTTATATACACAGGTCCCACTATGCTGGTAATGAAGGTAAACTTCATTTGTAATCTTCAACTTTGTGGTCTACAGACCAAAATATTAACACCTACAATGTGAAAAAAAAGATCAGAGCCACCCCTTTAATGTCCTTTAATGTAAAAGTGGCTTCCTTATTTTCTTTGCTTGGCCCCCTGGCCACAGTCAGGCCTAAACTTCAGCCAGCACAAGTTTCTCCTTCCATTCTCAGCCTCGCCGGCTACTGACCTGCGAGGAGAGAGAGGTGAAGTTGCACTGGGTGAATGCTTTCTTCATGGCAGACACAGCCACACCTGCATAGCCACTCCATCTCACGTTCTGTAGGATGAAGGAGGAGGAGGAGGAGGAGAAGGAGAAGGGAGAGAGGTGGGGGGAAGTGTGTATATGACAGGAGTAGAAAAGTGATTAATCTGGAGTGCTGAATCAGGCTGCTGTTGCCAGAGCTGGACAGCGGGGAGAGCAGGACTAATTTAGACTCGTCTCTGGGGTTGGGGACTCACCGACTGTAAGAGTGTGTTTAACCTCTCTGACATTACAGAGACACAGGCATGCTGTCACAACATGATACACTGTAGAGACCTTTAAAAGCCATGGGATTTTTTTTTTATGTCCTGAATGTTATGAGCAGACCATTAGCTCTGAGAGTGGAACTGAAACGATCCAGTTCTGGCAAATATATACACCGTGTTGAAGCATCTCCGCTGTAAAAAAACGGAATTGTGTCTCGTTTCGTCTTCACTTCATGCATATTTGTGCGCATCTTTAAGGGCTGAGACTCACCGTGAAGCTGGAGCTCGGCTGGCTCTTGCTGTGGGGGGTAAATTTGGGTTTGGGCGGTTTTCCGGCCAGCCGATCCTTGTGCCTTCTGCTGTTCATGTGCTGCCGAGACCAGCAGAAATACCATTAGCCGGCTCACAGGCATCTGTCGCACCACAGCGGAACAACCTCAAATGTTGTCCGCTGAATAATAAATACACGCAAGGGTATGAGTGAGGTGCACAGAAATTACATTGCATTATTATATTACAGCTGCCCTGCCGGCTGTGGTACCTTACAGGCTTTTGTCCTCCTGGGAGCGAGGATGTTTATATAAGACTGGTGGAATGCAGTTAGGGCTAAAGCAGACTGGGCGCTCATACACATGCCAGCACATTCTCTGTTATTTTTCCACATTCCACTCCAGTGTAGACAATCTCATGACTCACAGAAATAGTATTAAGTGAACATCAAAAGGAGAGAAATTACTTCCCGACCGTGGTTTGATGGTAATACATCCAGGAGAAACACATAAAGCACAGTAGCTTGCAATAAGTGGCAAATAAACGCCTGCTCACTGGGCATTTTGTTAAGCTAATAGGTGGTAAAAATAGCAGCTTAAATGTAGTCTTAATAGCTTTATTCATGTGCCTGAGCTGTTAAAGAAAGCGCCACAGATTACTTGTATCAAAGTGTTAAAATTAGCTTTTGGATTAAACACAGTCTTTAAAATTCCACCCTTCGTGTTCATCACCGATCTAACCAAATTTAACGCAGTAGATTAGAGGTGAATGTAAAGTCAAGCTAAACATGCAATTTTAAGCTCCAAGTGTTCATTGTGGTGGATAAAGATCTGCAAGCGCTTCGGTTTTCTGATTAATCCTGCAGCCACATCGTTTCTCCGTGGAGCGGGTTTGAGGAAATTGTGAGCAACGTTTTCTCCACTGCCAGGTGATTTGGGACTTTAGTGCGTTTCCCAGCAGAGTCAACATCACTTCTTTGGGTTTTTTTTTTTTTTCTACAAACTCATATCAGGTTGGCAGCACTCTCCCTTGGTATGTCTCAACAAATCTGGACGACTTCTCCCAATCCCCTCATACACCTTCATTTTACACTTCAAAAGAATAAAAAAGCTTGGAAGTCCAGAGTATTACTCATGCTCAGACTATCTTCCTAATGGTGTTTTGGTCGGTTTTGCTGCCAAAGCAAGCCAGCGTCCAGTAGACTCCTAACAGTATTGTGCTCGTCAACCATTTGACAAACCACTTTTACTTTTGGCAGACTGCACTACCAAGCTGAAAGGGAACCCAGGCTGGTCAATGGATGTGGCCCCATATGCAACAAACTCCCCAATTTAAATATATATGTATATATATTGCTCAAAGGTTTAAACACATGTGAAATGCAATTTAATCTTTACCTGGCTAAGTTGGGTTTCAGAGTTCACAAATATTTCACACACTTCACACTGGAAGTTCTTGCTGGTCACCCCGACGCTGCCTTTGGTCCCCAGCCGCTTGCTCTTGCAGCCAGATCGAGCTGCCACTACTTTCCCCCTACGGCGTGGCAGAACACTGTGACCTTCCAGCATCAATTTGTGCTTAGTACCTGATAGGAAAAAAAACAACAACAACAAAAAAAACAAAACAAAAAAAAAACAGAAATTTGACAGGATCTTTGTTATCCAAAGCCTTTCACTACAAGACATTTCAATGGCAAATGTAAGTGGCTTTTCAAAACATGAAGAAATGTGTACAAATCAGGTTCACAAGTCGATCGTACCGCTGTTATGTGCTTCCAGTTGGGAAGTGGAGTTGACTGTGACTTTACAGACAGGACAGTGGAGGTGAGCTTTGCTCTTCTTGGGGTCTTTGTTGTCATCCATGCATGGCTCCCCTGGCGTGATAGATGGGTCTGCAGCATTACCTGACTCGCCGGTCAGACACATAGCCTCAGTGGCCTCTGTGGGCTCTGCAGCCTCTCCGCCCTCCGGAGTGCTGGTGTCTGACGCCGTCTCAGAGAGCTGAGAGGAAGGCGAAACCTGAGGAGGGGAAAGCGTGACCAGCTCCACAGAGGAAACCTCAGACACCGGTGTCAGCATGACCGAGCTCCTGGGACTCTCCTCCAGTTTTCCCTCCAGGATGCTTGGTTCCAGATCAAACTGAAGACCTGTACAGAAGTAGAAAAGAAATGGTGAATATTGGCAAACTGGATGCTCAGATTAGGACTAACTTTGTAAGTACTGGCACTCTTCACTTCGGGTTTGTGAAGAGGCAGGTGCTTTATTTTAAATTAAGTCCGTGAGGCCAGATCAAAGGTGTAGAAAAGCAATCTGTTATTTTATTTCTGTTACAATTGGTTAGTGAGCAGAAGGAACAACCAAAAAAAAAAAAAAGCTGAGATAAACAAACCATGAGCGAGATTTAACAAGTGATCCTGAGCAATATTTCTTAATAGATTTTGAAGGACTTCCAGAGCTTTTCTTTCGCACTTTGGCCACTTTATTAGCTTTATTTTCAGTCCAGTATTGTCTGTTGGATGAAAAAAAACAAAACAAAACAAAAAACATGTTCATATGCAAATATTTGTGTATGTGTGGAACAGCGATCCGACAATCCCATATAGCACTGGATGAATTTTACTGCATTGCAATGCTGCTGAGTTTTCTACCACATGAAAGTCATTGATTTTAGGGAAACTACAACAACTGAACCAGGTATCAGTCTGAGACGCTCAATACGGGGAACGAAGCATCTAAATGCGTTGGGGTTAGGATCCCCATTAGTACTACTTTATGCCACATTAATAATTAATAAACTTTTTTTGGTTTATTAAAGCATTTGCCACAAGCCATTTTTTTTCATTCTTCTTTTGCACCTTTGCTCTTCACATTTACTCTTCAAATATCAGGTGGATCTTGAGTTTCAGTCAATATAAACAAACCTATCGGCTGCTGGGTCCCGCCGATAAGTCACTGCAGTTCCATTACCATTCCCCCTTCACCTCTGTTGTCTTCCCATGGGAATCAAACACACTTCACCCCAGAGCACTGAGTGCTACGCTCACTGAATATCTCCATTTCATTTAGTGAGCTTAACACACACACACACACACACACACAGCCGACCTGAGAGCGACCGTGCTCCATTGATTTTCCCTTTTATGTCTTAGAGTAAATTCATCATTGGAGATAAGGGTCTTCCTTTTTCATTCCTTTCCAGGTAAAATAAACTATATGAGCAAGATTAGACATTCCCCTCGCTGTAATGAGTGTGACCCTTGAGGGGTTGGACTGCTTTTCCAGAGGTGGAGAGGGTGTGGGAGGGAAGAAGGGCTGGAGGTAGGAATGATCTGTGAAATGCAGGGCCACCCGAGAGGTCTGTGGTGGGAAATGATACTGATCAGTGGGTTTAGGGGGAACCTCATAGAGGAAGATGTAGAGGTTGGTGGGAATCAAAGGACTCTGAAAATTCATGGGTAGAGATCAGAGGGAGGCTGATGCGAAGATCTTCATTTCCTGCTGGGAGCTGAACATTTTCACTTTCGGATTAATCATATTTAAGGAGAACAAAAATGCAGCATTTTACTTTATTCTCTTTAACCACAACGGTTTATTTCAAATAGCTAGGAATAAAAGCCCTGCAAAAAGGAGCTCTTAAGGGTTATTGCATTGCGAGCAAGTACATAGTTCAAAATTCTTATGTTTTTTACCTACTTTATCAGTTGCGTGACTCTGGTAGTCCTGCAAAAATTTCTGTTTTTCAGATGTACTATATGCCCCCTAAGTATTGATATAATTGTGAAGACAAACGAGAGAACTGTCAAAACTGTCAGGCCAAGACCAGTCCATCGGCAGCTGGCCCTCTGAGGAATGGAAGTAGACACCATCGATTACCGAGCATCTGGATCGATGTTGTACAAGCAATCATGAGTAACTTTAACATGAGAATAATTTGATTTATGTTTCCAGCAGTCCATCTGAATATGTTTCTATGGGTGTAAACATCTTGAGAGATTACCAGTCGGCGGAGTGATCGGCTAAGAACTTAAAGCACAGACAGACAGCTAACGAAAATTGGACTCATTAAACACACGCTTGCCTCTACGCTCAAGACGCTGAGCGCTTGATTTAGTAGGCGAGCGCTGATCCGAGGCGGCCTCCGAACATAAACAAATTCCCAGGGGAAAAAAAATCCTTGCTTTAGATCATCATTACTGCGGTGACAGACAGAGTCCCTGCAAAAGATGACTTCAGCGGCGGAGTCAATCAAAGCCGGGGGTGATTGATGCTCGTCATGATTGATGGTGGCTCTCAGTCTCCTGGCGCCAGCTTGGCACTCTTACACTCGGTAGACGGCTGTCCTTTGTTAGTCTGAGGCATGCTATATAAGAATCGATCTGTCTCTTTGTGTGACTAGAAAGTTCATCTCTGTTTATCCTCTCGTTCTCCTTCCCAGATGGATGACTTGTTGCGCTTGGTATGATAAAATACCGATCAAACTCAAATGTGATTGGGAAGTATTTGAGAGACTACGCATGTTAGCATATGTAAAAGGACTTATTGCTAGAAGCTAGAAATTTGGTACAAATTGCATAATAAGTTTTAAACAAATGGGGTAACGCAGCAACGCTTCTCATATTCCTTTGCTCTGTGGAGGACCAGTGTTGCTCTTTCTATGGAGCTGGAAAACATATTGGAATAAATAGTAATTCAAACTCCTTTAGACACCAGGACATTTTACATTAAAACGCTGTAGTAACTGCCAGGAAGCTAAAATGAATGAGTAATGATCCAGAAAATATAATTAAACCACCAGTGAAATGGTTTAATAGACAAAAAAATGAACTTGGAGGTCGCTGCAGTTGACAGACTTAAAACTTATGCTAAAACTGGAGAAGAGAAGAGAGAATAAGGCAGATACTGGACTTTGGATGATCTGGAAAGAGTGTGCAAGGAGAATTAGTAAAATTTCCATGTATCTGCATACTTCATACTTGTAAAATGCTATAGGATAAGTATAACAAAAGAGGGTTGTAATTGTTTTTATTTTTTATTTTGCATAATGTTCGTCTTTAAAACCAACTGCCAACAATTCAGAGCGAAAGTGATAAGAACTAGTACATTTAAGTAATTTTCCGTACAAATCTTCACTGCGGTTTTTATTCCAAGATGAAGTTTGGAAGAACTCTCCTACAAAAGTTCATCAAAAGGCTGTGAGTTTGGATATGAAGTGTTTCTAAAAAAGTAACAAAGGGATGTTAAATGAAGAGCCCCTGTTATTTTGCTATTTCAGTCATGTGCAGGAGAAATAAAATATTTAATCCCATTTATTCCCTTTCAATAAAACAGTCATTTATGAAAAGAAGCTGCCCGTCGTGTTCATATTATTCCGCAGGCATTTCCATCGCAGCCAAGAGGCTGACCTTGTGGGTCCAGGGGAATATTTTGTTTTGTTCCGAGTGAGACACTGCACATACTTCAGTGAACCACCGACGGGGATCTTATTGGTTCCTGAGAACAGACACTCTGGACATTAGCCTCTCAAAGCTCCCCAGCAGCTTTTATTTTCATGGCAGATGTAATTCATTTCATCAAGTATTAATCTGGAATGCTTTTCCATCCCAGTTTGGCATTGTGCGGGATGCCAGCACTGGCTCACTCTGGTGCATTTCAATTTCACATCAGGCCAGTCGCACAATTGGGTTTATTAAAGAGTGTTCTTTGGCACAAAATTGCCTTGGAACTGCAAAATTATTCACGGCATAAAAATTAGCTATGACTTATCTACTTCTTTCGTGCTTTCCCTTTCTCATTCATTTCTCTCTCCCTCGCTCGCTCTCATTCATTTCATCTTATCTTACATTTCCCACTCATCTCGTCTCGTTTCGCCTCTGCCGTGCTTTCCTCTTTCAGGGCCTTTGGAACAGCAGAATATTAAAATTGTATTTGATGAGAGTGTTATCAGGCTCCGGGACTTTTGTCTGATTTCTCCTTTCTGAAGGAGACTCTTGGCACTCAAGGGGAAAATGTGTGTATGTGTGTGTCCATTTATAAACTACCCTGTCTGGAGGATAAACAGTGTCACTCCTATCCAAGACTACCTTTATCTCTCTCTTTTTTTTCCAGATATTCTGTCTGCATTTAAAAACCCTGCATAGCTAGAGATCTTCTCTGAGGCAGGGAACTTAAAACGGTAGAGGAAATAAGAAGGGGGG